TTCACATTTTAATGCAAATGTGTACATAAATATATCGCCACATGTATCCTGTAGGGGTAGAATGGATATACCATCGTCAGTTAAACATCTACAGACCCTTCCAATCAGAATGATGGAGTTTTTTTTATTACTTACAGTAGTACATAACGAGTTTAGCATATACATTATGCCCTCCATTCAATGTTTATCGCTTTTTGTTATATTGTTGTTTAATCATTCTCTTGCATTTTCTTTTTTTCAATTACAGACTTTCATGTTTATGTTTATTCGTCCATATAAACAATAAGATAAGCGTTTTAATTCAGCATAAAAGTGTAAAGTGCATTTTCTGTCCAAGAGAAATATTATCAGCTTTGGTATTCTATATATATGTAGCATCGTATTCAGTTTTGATCATTTCTTTTCTCTGAGAATCCGAATGCGCATTCAAAAACTGTTCTCGTGCGTTAACTGATTCTGTGTCCAAGGTGATATATGTCATTAGACTGAAAAAAACTTTTGACGTGTGCTTTATGGTATCTAAAGCTTATCCCTTAAGATATCAGTAAGTCATTTCAAAGTCTGGAACGTAAATGTGATGAATGCGGCGCGTCGTATGTTCTTTTGAAAAGTCACAAACCGGTAAAAAAAAATGGAAATCTACCTGTATATAACACACGTATAAAATGGCAAGGATAGCCGATCCCTAATATATCACGACTTTTTGTTTGAAACCTTAGTTACACCTTCTCCGATTTGAGTTAAAAGGCTCCCCATAATTGTTTGAAAACCAGACATTAAAAATGTCGCTAAAATACTGCTGGTGTGTTGGTGTGAGATCAATTGTCAGCTTGATCTTGACATTATTCGGGGGAAAGCTAGCATACAAAACGTGAAGTGTTTCGTCACAAATACCGATAAAACCGGTTAGAACGGATTTCATATCAATGTAGATGGCAGTTTCAATAATTCGGAAAGTGTACCCCATGACAGGAGTTCGTGAGAGGAAAACGTAGACGAGTGAAAATGAATGCAGGAATAGATATGCCCTCATTTTTAGCAGATGCCGAAAGACTATTTCGAACAATGACGTGTTGTCTATGCACACATTATATCGCGAGATGTTATGAAAAGCTCAGTAATGAGACCGGTAAGCTTCGAGGTGTCAAGATGCAAAGAGAATCGGGATCTTCCGACAAAGTCGGGGGAAACCGTGTAATCGAACAGATTTCTCCTTTATCAAAATTGGTTAACTGTCTGAAACATGGGGATTTATACAAGAACAACGATAGAAGAGAAAATAATATTTTAAAAGTGACTAACCGTCTAGACAATACTGAACGTTATGAGGACCAATACACGGAAAGCCGTGTATGAGGTATAGGGACTTTGACATTTAAACAGCTTGCAGTAAAGCAATGTTTATATACTGCAAAAGCGCATTGGTTTAAAATCGTGTCTTAGCCTTGTTAAAGTATTTTGCTTAGTAAATCATTTGTAAGTCATCTTTACTATTCATTTTGCATGACGTTCTTATTGCACATCTTACATAACAGATTGATAGTCCATTTGTCCAACAACAGATGAAGTAGTGTCTACGGTCGGGCTTCAGAAGATTATTGTCGTCCACGCCTAATATAATAGCTACTATATCACGCGTACACCTATTTATATTGTCTTCTATATTCTACTCATGAGATTTCCCAAGACATTTACATCATTCTTTATGGATCCATTCTGTCAAACTGTCTTCAGGATATATTTCTTTCGATTTGATATTTGTACTATACTGAGTAGTGGTCCTGTTATATCGCCGTGTAAACAGGTGCAAATAACCTTAACACCTATTGATGAATAAAAAAAACTATCATTGGAGGCACGGTAGTGTAGTGGTAGGACGCCGGGCTCGTGACCGAAGGGCTGCGGGATCGGTCACGGCACGGCACTGCTTTGTATCTTTGAGCAAGATACTTTACACTGCTTGTTCCAGTCTTCTCAGTTGTAAATTAGTACGTGGTTGGGCAGTGCTAGAACTGTTGAATGCTAGATGTGAGCGCCGAAATGGCAGCACCGGCTGTATGCTCCCCAGGTTGTTGAGAAAGATATTGGTTGCAAAGGCCATATAACCACAGATAATAATTTGTGAACCGCTTTGAAAGTACCTGCGAACCTCGAACTATTATTTTTTTCTTCATGATCTCACGTATAACGTGCATAAGCTGGTGTTCTGAACTTAACAATGTTTCCGACAGTTATCCAAAACATTTTTGAGATAATGCACAATAGCGTTTACGTTCGCCAATGCGTGATATATTTAGGTCATGTTACAACAAAATAGGAACAACATTTATCAGGATCGCCTACTTTCGACTCCAAGATAATAGTGCAAGCCGTAGGCAGATTACATTCAACAAGATTGGATACGCTTTAATGCAGGAGGTTGTGGTCGATAATAGAACAGTCACTAACAAGATAATATTTAACAATTTAAAAAAATATAATGTCGATAAAAGTACAGTTACTAACAAAATAACATTTAACATATAAAAAAAAATATGATCGCTAAAAGTGCAGTTCCTAACAAGATAACATTTTAGGACATCGAATACTTTTCACTTGAAAAAGTATATGGTTGGTATTATATGATGCAAGTCTCAGGCCTTAACAGTATTGAACAAGTAAAAATACGCTAGGCTCGACGAGAATATAGTCATATAAGAACAATTCCTAATGGCTAGTTTGGATGTTGCCGAGTTGCTACGTAGCAGTGAACAACTCTATGTCTCTTCCCTTCATCGCTTTTATTTTTTTAACTAAGTAATTAAGTAGCACTTCGAACATTTGTGTTCAATTATAACGGTCGTTATGTACACGCATTGGCACATTCCTCTGGTAGTAACGCTGCCGAACGTCGCAAAAAGAAGCCGCCATCTTTACTTTACCGTCAAAGAATTTTGAATGTGCATTTAACGGGAAAAAAAGTTTGCTAGCATCCTTTTGTTGCATAATTAGATATAATGGTCACCGAATATGTTCCATGTTTCTAGATGTTGAAGGAACCAAACTGTCATCGCACAGTTATCTCGCTGGAGCTAGAACGGCGCCTTATTTGAAACAGGTATCAATCCGCGAAGCCTTTTTTTTCATTGCATATTTGCTAACTTATATGCAGTCAGAGTTGACTAAGCTGATGAAGAGAGGAATGTTAATATTGCCTAATAGCAACGTACTTCTCCTTAATAAATCTTAATTTCGCAATAACATTTATAATGTAGATCTCCTATTTGCCTATTAATCGAATAAATCTGGGTTGAGAAAAAACGCCCAGCAACCTGTATAAGAAATAAGCAGATATATAGGAGGCACACTGTTCTTAACGAACTGACAGCATCACCTGTACAAAGATCCTTGGTTAAACTAGCTACATCGGCAAGGTGAATATATCCTGAATCCAATCAATATACATGTATTAACCGGATGTTATATTTGTATGCAAAAATAAATTTAAAAGGTACAAATAAAAAGGAATCATCATGATCACTATTCTTTGTTTTTCATGTTGATAAGAAGCGCTACATGTAACTAAAGCAAATTGTTGAGATGGTACAACAACAAGAGAAACGAACACTCTTTTAGGACAGAACATTTAACGACAGAGACTTATTTATGAAAGATAGTACGTAACATTTCATATTGTTTCACTGTCAGGTCATTGGGCTTGATTGCACTTCGCACTGAATGTAACATAGCATATAGTTAAATACGTCAGCCGGTAGATGTATGTAGCTTCTTTAGGCAAGACAGCATATCACACACTATGGAGACATGCGAAAGAAACTTAGGACAAATATGAAATATAAGTTAATTGACACTCAACTGATGATTATTTTTTATTAAAATACCTGATTGATTTCAATCAAAATGACAAAATTCGGTTTGCTCGTAAATTGTTAGATATTTTTTTCTCTAGAAGCGACTTCTGTTCCTTTTTCTTGATAGATTACTTGGAAATAATGTTGACTATTTAATGGTTGTGTCAAAACGGTTGAAATTGTTAAGATTAAAACAAATGCAAATGTCAATATATCTTTTTCACGAATGCAATTGGACTGGCAAAAAAATAATCATGATGCCAGAACGGTTTTTTAGAATTCAATCTGGATGCCAAGACTTTCTTTCTGATCTCGTGAAAATACAGTTGTTTAGGGAGTCTACGTCGTCGTTCTGCTCATTAAACTTGTGCACACTTTACATTCAGCTTCTCAAACGCAACACAAATCACTGTTCTTGCAGCATATATCTAATACAGGAACGCATAGGCAATTACACTGATTCTTCGTCTCGTAGTTGTCCTTTGGGTGAAATTGAATGTTACTTATAGCCTGTTGGGTTTTCACAGAACTCTGTTTATTTGCTGTTTTCACAAAGTTTATGTGTACCTTTCGGTGTTCATTTTAAATACTAGAAGACAATGAATCACATTCTCCTTCACGTCTGCTCAGCCTGATGTCGTCATTAGTCTACACGCAGTCAGTACACTCGCGAAGCCTTCTGGTCACGTGACTGGTAATCTGGTATATTCAATTTTACAGCTACTCCTTCCTTTAAGTATCTCTCCAAGGGTAGTCATCTAGATGTATCTTTTACGTTACGAGTAGCAAAATGCCATTTATGCTGTTCATAAATGTGTAGGTATATGATAAAAGCCATAGTATGTGACATTGACAATACATATATTTATATATATATCTGATGTTATAAAGTGTTGAACATACTATATTTATAACATCACGCGAAGTTTACATGACGAAGAGTTAATAATGTCATGCATTATGTAAAAAAGTGGCGTTATTAAAGTCAGGAATATGATTATCACCCAAGTGACAGAGTAATAAACGTGTATGTATACATAAAACACGTAATTAAGTTTGTTTCATATCATGTATTTGTGTTTCCATACCGGTATGTTGAATGCCGACTATAACTTATTATATTGTACATCTGCGTTTCCCCTTCCACAGTTTGCGGGGTTCTTCACTTTCACGTGGCGTCTTGGTGAGGTCATGTGTAAGGGCGTTCACTACGTCCAGAATGTCTCGGCTATCTGCTCCGTCACCACGCTTACTGCCATGAGCTTAGAGAGGTAAGTACCCGTTGAGTACTATAGGTAACTATAAATATACTGTAACGTACTTCATTGTTATGAAATGTAAAATTATTTTCGAATATCAACAGATCAGCGCATTGGTGAATTGGCGCTCACCCAAAAGATGTAATAGAAAACGGAATACTGAAACTCCAGTTGGTGTGATCATAATTCAGCACAATATATAGTGTGCGAAATAAGCTTAAATAAAGTTACTTAATATATATTATGTACGTTTACAAAATCTGATGGAGTATTTGTGTATTTTATGTTTCATGCTTAGAATCAAATATGTATACTAAACAAAGAAAATACTCATATACCGCAGAGTTACATAATTGTATTATTAAAAACTTGCATGACCCCCGAATTGTCGCTAAGTTATCATATCCCTGGATATCTATACTAACTAAAATGCAAGACTTGGTTGGTAGAATGGTAACCACATGTAAATTATAGTTAACCCACTACGACGCACAAGAGTCTGCTCAAGGATTTGCTTATTCTTTAAACCAAAGAGGTTGATGCATTTTTGAAACGGCGATTCATTCATTCAAGCGATCTCATTGCATGTTCCTGATCCCTGTTTGCTATACAACACATCAGTATATATCAGAACATGATTTATTTCTAGGTGGTTAAGTATCGTCTTATCATCAATCAGTATCTGCATTGTAGTTGCGTTAAACTGACGTTTCCGACACGCTCAGGAACGAAAGAATAAAGCATGGTTTACTTTAATTTACCAGCCGTTGCCGTTGCATGTTTATTAAAATTAAATGTATTTGTGTCGAGACCAGATTCCATGAATCTTGTTATACATTTTGATATTATCAGACTTATAAAAATGAACACACAATGATGTCGTCACCTATTGTTTTAAATAATTTAATTGCAAGTTGAACACGTGTCCTTGCATAGCAAGTACATACCACGGGCAATCCACGACTCTTTGTTCACATCAGAAACATATCAGTTTCTTCGCTCCAAAAGAGCGGTTTCTATATATTGCTATAATCTGCTTCCGCTTATTTGTTCCAAACCAAGAGCGGCTTACATTGTAGATAGTTTTGAAAGTATAAAACATCATTTAAAAACGAAACGAAACAAAAACATGACAAAAAAATACCGTTTTTTTAAAATTATTACAACGACTAGAATGGGGACAAAATAAAGGTTTGTATGCCTACCCCACATATACCTCAACGCAAATATAGAATTGAATAAGGCCATCATAAGATGACAATTTGTTATAATAACATCATGACACAAACTATGAAAATGATGTTTACTGTCAGTTTACATCCTTAGGTGGGGGATTCGAAAGAATTACGCCCCACACCAAGACATATATATATAAATCACAAAATAAACAATAATAAAAAGGGTGGCATGTGAGGGTGGGTTTGTCAATAAGGTAAATTTGGTATAACATTTTAAACAGCTGCTGCAACAAAATGGCGCCGTTATTTTTTTTCTTAAAGATGAAGAAAGAGGCCTACAGCCAATCAGGTTGTAGCTTGGGATGTTAGCCAATCAAAAACCTCAAAACAATGGAGGCACCAAGAAGGGGGGAGCGGCACCCTAAGGGGGCTATGTTCGTAGCAACCTTTTAAAAATACCTGTAAAACATTCTAATGGAGGGTTTTTGTGTCGCGACAATTGATATAATATACGTACTACATTAAGTATATGTAATGAAAGTCTATGATTAATGTGTTGTGGGATAATTTGATGTTGACGTGCAATTAGGACGAATTAATGTGCTTGTTTCATTGACACTAATCACTATGTGTTTGTGGCACAGATATTGCATTAATTGTTGATGGACAAATCATTATTATGCAATTCACGGGATTCTTGTTAAAATGTGTCCATTAGTAAGGAACTAATATGTTGCGGGAAATTGATACGTCACTAACCACCTCTGAGTATTGGGGGTTTTGTACGAATTACTGGCGAGAGAATTGATTTGTTACCACTAGATATAAAGTGTATATGTAAATCACACTACAGAGACAGGAATGATTGAAGTATAATTAGCATTTCTAGCTACGGCGAGTCCGACATCCGGTCTCTCCAGACGTCGTTTTAGACTGGTATGTTAGCATTTATCCAGTAAGTTGAGACATTTTGTCAAAGCAGTATTACAGTATCTCGGTTTTAAACAAGAAAACGTCAGTTTGATAAACCTAATAGCACAGCTGCGACACATTCTCCAAACATTGTCTAGCACAACTTGCATATTTACATTCACATGGAAATTACCACCACATAACATTATATTATTCGTTTGACCTTTGAGTGTGATAGTGATGGAGATGAAGGGACGTCGCGAAACAAACGGTCACATTCCAACAGAGATTCTTGACTGTCAACGGGGACTGTTTGTATTATACGAATACTATGTTATACTGTTATAACTCAGTGTAATAAATAATAAATAGGTGACGGTCGAAATGGCGGGGGAAGGGGATCACTTTTCTCTCGTACAATGTATTTTTTCACGGGATGGCTTTGTTATCAGTTATTTGTTGTAGTTTTAAATCTGTTACGTTATAGATGGTTTGATTTTAAGCTTCAATGTTCGCGGTATATGTTTCATAACACTTCAGATATCAATAAACGTTCTATAGACCTTTGGTTATACTGAAGAGTTATAAATGGTTAGTTGGTCCTGCTGGTCATGTTATCAGTGTAGATCAAAGTAAGAAGCTGATGAAGAAGAGTATGTAATTCAGGAAAGTAGTTATAGACGACAAACGGGGTTAATACATTTCTTACTAGTATAAAAACAACACATCGATATGACTGGTTTGTTATAACCAATCCGAAAAATTCTGCAACAAATCTTGTATGTAGGGGCCCCGTTTGTTACCATGGGAATTCCAAGTCTGGAAAAAGCTTGTCATTGAACTGAAAAGGGGACTTTCAAATAAGAATCCTTTTTGCCGTATTTTTCACAAAGTATGCTCGAAAATAGTTTACAATCATTTCATTGGCGTTACACAGGAATAAGAGCATGTTGGCTGGTTGACTCACATTGTCTATTCCGTCTTTGCGTATTGCAGAGTTATCTTCTCTTGGGAGCAGGTATTGATTGCTACGTCATTGGTCTGTGTGAGAAAATAACGTCGTTTTCTCAAAAATTGATGACGTTACTCTCACAAACAAGTGACGTAACAATCAGGTACTGCTCCCAAGAGAAGATAACTCTGCAATTTGCAAAGACGGAATATATACGTATTTGAATACGACATACACACACAACAAAGCTTACGATGAACGTTTGTTCATTTAAAATCTTAACCAAATAATATTCTGCAGAAAAACGGAAACCGGCATTGCATTATCTCAACATATTTAATTCATAATTACATTCTTCATGTTCTAATAAATCATATGATTATAAATACGATAAAAAAAGTTGATTACACCAATATTTATTTTAATAATCAAATAAATTTCATCAAATCGCAAGCAAAAATGTAAAAATACAATGCAACAGAGACATGACTGCGATGTTAATGTAAAATAGCAATAGTGTTTTGATTATGCAGTGTGAACATGTTTCAACCTTAATAAAACATGACTGGAATTAGACAAGACTTAGCGAAGCATTTTGTTGATATGGGCGGCAATCGGTTTTGTCAGCTTCACAAAACAGCAACACCGAGAACTTCATTTGGTGGTCTGGTGGCTCAGTGGATAACGCACTTGCATTTCACGAATACAGCCGTAGTTTGCTTCTCCGATAGGGCAGGAAAGGGTATTGGCTATTGGCTTGACCTAGCTATGATGCCTAGCTCTCCACCACTGGGTAGAGGGTTCCGGGCCTACGTTGGGCAGTCGCTAGGTACTGACCGCAGGTGGGCGGATTCGACAATTTTAGAGAAAAGCAGTAATTATAACTTACTTATAATTAACGAATTGACAAACATGTTACAGCCAATACAGAAACGCTTTTCAGTATACAAAGGATACATACGCCTCATTGCTAAACATAAATCTTGAGTTTTGAAAATGAGACTAATAATACTTCGCATTTATTATAATAATTGTAAAACATATTATTAGATTCACTTTTATTCAAATTTAATATCATCAAATGACCCACACTGGTTATTAACGCTTGAATGTCGGAAATTATCTCTCAAATCTTCAAATACGATATCGGGGAAACACGAAAGGAAATCGAACTCATTTGGTGAACAACACTACATTCTTTCTACTCCCATCGTTAGGGGAAAAAACATTATCAATAAAATTTCTCAAACTTTCCGGTATATTAACATTTGTATTTCATTTGATTTTGCGAACGCTTTAAAGAGCGTCCCGTGTCCCTTCAACTTATTATACCATAGCTTCATCGTCATATCGACTCTATATGTTGATTATTGTTTCGTCGGATATCCGGACTTTTTAATCATATTTTATATAGCAGTGCAATTCTCTATTAGCGGAAATTGTAGCCCGATTGTCCGCCTCCATCTGTCACGCATCGTGTCTCTGTAAAGTATAGGTTTCCGTAAAACTATGGTCACTTGATGACATGTCATTGATAATAGAAGTTACTGCACTCTTTGGTGATATTTGATAAATACCAAATGACTACACTTTGGTGTTTGTATTGAAGCATGTTCGTTGCTAGACTGTGGTTAGGCTGTCTCCCGTACTTAAGGCAAATGGAGTTTGACATGGTGGAACTGACAGGACATTCCCCAGACTCCCTCGTACGTCGCAGAAGTGGTGGTAGACTTGCACATTGGAGATATATCTCACGGCGAGCTCTCTATATAGATAGTAAGTCTGATTTCCACTAATGCTGGTTTCTAATGTATCAAACCCCTACAATTCCGCATAGTATTAAACTCTAAATCACTCTTCGAAATTTCATACCGATATATATTCTCCGTAAAGCCATAATTTAGCAGCTATTATTAAGAGAAACAACATTACAATCAATTTACAATCAAGCCATGATGGAGATGACATCA